GCTACCATGGAGAAGCCACTTTTGGCCAGCTACCACAGACAAGCCACTTTTGGCAAGCTACCACAGACAAGCCACGTTTGGCTAGCTACCATAGACAAGCCAAGTTTGGCAAGCGACCATAGATAAGCTACTTTTGGCAAGCTACCATAAAAAAGCCGCGGTTGGCAAGCTACCATAGACAAACTACGTTTGGCAAGCTACCACAGACAGGCCACGTTTGGCAAGCTACCATAGACAAACTACGTTTGGCAAGCTACCATAGACAAGCCACGTTTGGCAAGCTACCATAGACAAGCCTCGTTTGGCAAGCTACCATAGACAAGCTACTTTTGGCGCGCTACCACAGAAAGGCCGTGGTTGGCAAGCTACCACGGGCAAGCAATGTTTGGCAAGCTACCACAGGCAAGCAATGTTTGGCAAGCTACCATAGGCAAGTCACGCGTGAAAAGCTACCGTGGGCAGGCTATCTTTTGCTAAATACTATAAACGAGCCACGTTTAGCAAGCTACTATTGGCAAGTAATATATGGCAAACTACCATAAACAAGACACTATTTGCAAGTCATATATAGCAAGCTACCAAGGGAAGGTAGGAATGTCATAGGCTATCTTTTATAGGTAGTTAGCCACAGGCAACCTGTTATAGCAGTCGTAGGGTAGTCATCGCTGCTCGTCCAATCTGGTAAGTCACAGTGTGCTTAGAGAGGTAAGCGAGAAATAAAGATTCTAGTCTGAAATTCCCGTTTGTTTGGTGAACGTTTGTCTAGTCAAGGTTTCGTGGCCATGTTTAAGTTTGGGTCCAATTACTCTAGGTCTTTGTTCGAGTCTTCAATCTGCAACAATATACTCCCAATAGATGCTAGTCTTATCTGTGTATTGGAGTTGACCGCAGTGATATGTACGTGTTTAAAAAATGTACGTTTACTGAAAATTCGCTAACTTACCAGCGCGCAGTGTGTGGTCCGGTTCTCCTTTGAAGAAAAAGCAGCTACGCATACAGTTTGCACTGAGTCTACTTACGTCATATCAAATGAATGTAACGTTAGTATAACTCATGTCGAGCTATGTTGAAAACACGTCGTTTTGTATATGGTTCTGGTGTAACTATAAGTGCTAGTTCTAGCGTTCTTTGCATGATTAGATTCTATTCGGGTATTAATTTCGACATTGTTTTTATATATTATATATTTGATTGGTTTGGCAACAGAATTCCCAGAATTTTTCGCGGAGTAATAAATTAACTGTTAGAGAAGCCGATGGCAACTGGAACAATGATTTGGTGATGTCCGAGCAGGCTTGGGACCAGTAAACCCAGCAAGGACTCTTTTGTGAAAGGATATTAAGGTTTTCCTAAACTGGCAGCGCAAAAATCCGTGACAAATCGAAGGTGACGGAGTGAGATCACATTTTCGCAACAGCTGCCAGCAGCGCGATTCTCGTCAGTCTTATAGCAGAATATGGTGAGGTGATAGATTCGTGAACTAACTGCGAGTGCGCTCTGCCTAATAACACCTATGCATCGCATTAAAGACGGTTTCTAGTCGTTTGGGACCAGTATTCTTTAGCGACTGTCGTCACGTCTAGATCTACCGACTACACCAAAAACAGCAAGCTGGCAGGGCGTTTTCTTTCGTCTTCAGATGGCGAATCGGCTGCATTTTGTATAAATGCCTTAACCTAGTTATGCCACGGTCAACGTTTTTTTCTGCGATGTAAGGCAGGAACGTTTTTCACAATTACAAGCCAAAGATGAAGAGTTTATTAATGCGTAATATGTTATCAGGTATAAAGAAGTGCTGTTCCCGTTGGCACTAACATTTTGGCATGTGGTGTTAACTGCTGCTTAGACGGGTTTATAGTTTTTTTCACAAAAGCGAAAAAGAATCCGTGTTGGTGGCTGGGTTGTAGACCAACCTACAAGTGCCAACAGGAACATCCCAGCTTTAAGGGTAGTTTTATTTCAATGTATCTTCTTTGCAATTTGCAGAGATATTGAAAAGGAGCTTGGGTCAACTGAGAAAACTTCTATCTTTGATAAGACAATGATTATGAGACGGGATGCTTCGTGGGGGGCATTTTTAGCTTGACGCAGACAGTTTTTGACCCTGGTTGAGTAAAAGCACGAGTATAATACCATGAGCATATTTATAGAATACTATACGCCTATACATATGTTCCGTATGTATTGTATTTATATAGAATCTATATCTACATGGTAATACGGCAATAGAGGTTTGAAGGAACTACAGAGTAGTTATCAGATGCCACAATATCACGAGTAAGGAAATCACAATTTTCATCCCGGTTACTAATCTCACACACGGCACACATACACAGTGCGTCCTAGTTCAGATATACAATGGCATTTCTGGTTTAGTATGATACCACGAAATCAGAGGTGAAGTTATTGAAAGATGTCGTGTTCTTTATTCGCGAAATCATGGGATGGTAAATATGTCGTGCCCCCAGTGAAACATCACCCGATTTATGACATATTATAATATATAGCTGGAGTTTGGCGCTATTTTAGCATTAGTGTATGCACGCCGATCTATTATTATGTTTATTATGTATATACGGACACTTTTGTTTTATTCTTTACTCAATATAGTTACGGGACCCGTAATAACGTTCAGATTAGGTTGGAAACATTTGAGTTTCATGCAAGAATAAGTAAACTCACAAGACGTGTTTCGCTGTCACCTCTCAGTATGTGCTTTATCTATGAACACTCTGTATATACTATATAGAATATACTGTAGTATAGGGAACAATTCT